ATATTTAACATATTATATATAATTCGAGTTTGAAAAAAAATACATTTTTCGGTACTGCGTATTACCATACTCATCTGTGCATTGTGCTATTCGTTTGATTCCAATCTTACAACCTTCCAAGTAYAGTGTTTCAAAATCAATTTCGTAGTATCTATTGTACGTTTCTACTATTGATGATTTTCTTTCGAGTTTAAAATTTAAACTGTATGTTTGGTTTTCATATAACCAGGTACTACTTTTGAAAAACACCGTTTTTAAAGTTTTCTGCGAAAAAATTCAAGTTTGAATTAAAATAAACATATACGTTAATATATAATTAACATYTACTATAGTGAAATGTTTACCAAAATTAGTATTTTTATTATGGTGGCATGCTTTAGTTTTCATAATTTTTGAAACATTTGATTGATAAAATAAATTGCTCGTAAACTTAAGGATTTATAAGTGTTAAATCCTACTGTGAAAAATAATGTTAAAAATTAAGTCAACGGCCCTGCAGGAATCAAACTCATATTATATCCTGCTTACCAGGCGATTACTCTAACACAGATCCAAGACGTGCATATTATAAGAGTGTTTTTGTTATTATACATTCAAATTATAAAAAGTGACTACGTAAATGCGTTTTAATATAATATATTACCTATATACTCGTATGTCGTATTATATATGTAGGTATTTAAATGTAAAAAACCAAATTACCGATTCTTGTATATTGTTAGAATATATGACTTGTTTTTCAAAACTATTGTCATCAGTTACGTCCATTGAAAACGTACACTTTGACTCATCTTCTAGTAAATACGAAACAGATATACACATTTTAATTGAATTTCTTTGTTTCCATTTGATTTTGAACGATTCTTCAGTTTTGTTAGCTTTCCACAATAATAATTCATAGGTGCGATTGATTTGCAGGTTTTCAGCTGGATGTGTAACGATTGATGATTGAATACATGTCAAAATTCAAAAACGTCAAGTTATTTAAAAAATATACAAACAAATTCTGACTGAACGTTTTTGGAAAAACATTCAAGGATATTTTTCGTATAAGTTGATGTATACAATATACATCATTGTTTCGCTATAACATCATAATATAATATATAATTACATACAATTTTATAGAATAAATTGCATCACCGTATATACCTGTTAGTATTTCCATA